CAGTACGCATACATTTAACGCTCAGTGTTAATAGAGTTATTTCGCCATCTTTGTTTTTAGCGCTTTGAATGTCTCTCTCTCTCGCTCTCTTGCTCTTTCTCAATCTGTCTCTGTTTTTGCCTGGTTCATTCGTTCGTTATGCCGTTAAATGTTTGTTTGAAGCTTAAACGTTACACAACACTGAACAGTAAACACACACACACACAGATCAACAACACTGTTGAACACTGATTACATTGCTGATTGAGTAAACTGAAAATCAAAACAATCAAAACAAAAACAGAAAAACAACTGATGATTGATGATGGCTTCTCTTCCTTATTCTTATTCCTTATTTACTTTGAATTGCGAATTCGATTGATTGATTGATTGGTTGATGTGTGTCGTCGTCGTTTTGTGTGATCAAAAATCCAAAAATTGTTGAACCACGTTTCCCAACACTGCGTACCCACCGACCGATGACGACTCTTTTGACGAACACTTATTACAGCAACTACTGTTGTGCGCCACCCAAAGCCTGTTCACCTGTGATACCCAACAGGCGGGCAATGCCCATGCCAATGGCAGTTCGCCCACATCCATTCAGGTATGACGGGAAAATCTTTCGTCTCTCGCTTTTACGTTCTTTTGCCACTTATTGTTTTGTACACGTAAACGTACACGTACTCGTACAGTTGCGTTCGATTCCAGTAGTTCGATAACAGTAGATAACAAACAAAAAACACTCCTCTAACCCCCACAAATAAGACTAACCTTAACCTTGGGCCTTAACAATTAACTCGAACTCTAACCGAAACCGAAACCCATTCGGTATCTATCTGATATTGTATGCTGATCCATGTTTGTCGATCGATTAGGCACCCGTTGCCGCGCCCATCATTGACTGCAAGTCGAATCCGCCGGCGTACAGCTTCGTGCAGGGCTGGCAGCTGCTTGCCCTGGCCGTCTCCCTGTTTGTGCCCAAGTCCAGTCGCCTGCTGTGGTACTTGAAGCTGCATCTGTCGCGGAATGCGGACACCAAAACGGAGACGGGCAAGTATGCGGCCTACTGTGAGCGGGCCCTGGAGCGCACACTGAAGAACGGCGGCCGCGAGACGAAGCCCTCGCGCATGGAGGTGCTGTCCATTCTGCTGAAGAACCCATATCACCACTCCCTGCCCCATGCCATACCCGTGCACATGATGAACGCCACCTACCAGGTAAGGGATGCAAATCGGAGCATGTCGAGCTCACCTAAGTAACTCCACTCCCACGTCTGTTTGCTCCCTGCAGGTGGTTTCCTTTGACGGCTCTACGACCATCGAGGAGTTCCAGGCGACTCTCGCCCACGAGCTGGGCACCCGCGATGCCAGCAATGGCTTCTGCCTGTTCAGCGATGATCCCATCGAGAAGGATCTGGAGCACTATCTGGAGCCGCTGGCCAAGCTGTGTGACGTGATCAGCAAGTGGGAGACGGCGCTGCGGGAGAAGGGCTCTGGCAAGTTCGAGAACTCGCGCGTCATCCAGCTGAGCTACAAGAACCGGCTCTACTGGAAGCACACCATCAAGTGCGAGACGGACAAGGAGCGGCTGCTGCAGTGCTACCAGACGAATGCCCAGATCGTCCAGGGCCGCTTCCCCCTGTCCCGCGAACTGGCCCTGGAGCTGGCCTCGCTGATGTCGCAGATCGACATGGGCGACTACTCGCTGGAGAAGTCGCGCGACGTGGGCGTTGGCCTCAAGGGGCTCGACAAGTTCTATCCGTACCGCTATCGGGACGCCCTCGGGGCCGAGCAGCTGAAGGAGGTGCAGGAGCTGCTCATCTCCAAGTGGATGCTGCTCAAGGGCCGCTCCACGCTCGACTGCGTCCGCATCTACCTGACCTGCTGCCGCAAGTGGCCCTACTTCGGGGCCTGCCTCTTTCAGGCCAAGCCCCGCCAGAGCGAGACCTCGCACGTGGCCTGGCTGGCCGTCGCCGAGGATGCCCTGAACGTGCTGGAGTTGTCCACAATGGCGCCGGTGGCGCGCTATCCCTACAGCTCGGTGATGACTTTCGGCGGCTGCCAGGACGACTTCATGCTGGTCGTCTCCCACGACGACGGCACCCTGGCCGGCGGCTGCGAGCAGAAGCTGCTCTTTGCGATGAGCAAACCCAAGATCTTGGAGATTACCCTGCTCATAGCCGACTACATGAACGCCCTGGGCCACACGGTGCCCGGCACACCGCAGATGAATTCGCTGACGCGCAACGGATCACATCGCTCGCTGCGGACCTCGAATCGGCCTGCTCCCGGTGCTGGGAGCACTGTGGTTGCCTCAGGCCTTACCAGCATTGGCCTGGGCATTGGCACAGGCGGACCGGGCAGTGGCACTGGCTTCTCCACCAACGCCACCACCACGGCCCACAACACGCTCAACTCCCATGCCACGCACACTTTGAACTCCACCCACTCGCACACGATGAGCAGCTCGCATCACGCCACAACCGGCGGAGGTAGTCATCCTGGAACACTCAGCTCGGGCCACCATCATCACCAGCATCACCAGCAGCAGCAGCATCACCACCACCAGCCGGATATACTGAAGAGCACGCCCGACCATCAGCGGATCAAGTAGAGCATGGATCCTCCCGTATTGTACATAGGCGCCGGCATACGCATTCAAAAACCGGAAACATATACGACTAATCTACACGCCCACACATAAAGGGATACACACAACACACACACACATATATATATTTACGTAGAATAAGAGGAGCGTGGGATTCCACGCGATCCACTCCACAGGCACTACTCAGCACTGTTCTTTCCTAAACAACTAGCAACGGTACACGTACTCTAATCGTATGACTCGATTAATTATAGTCTCTCGAGTTTTTTTTTTTGATAGTCCTAAGAGCGTACCCCAAAAATACGAGCATGTAAGGTATCTGAAACAGAACACAAATTTTGAATCTCTTTTTCGTTAGTTTAGTTATTTTTTTTTGTTTTTGTTTTTGTTTCGTGGTTGTAGTTCCCTCAGATACAGATAAAGATAAAGATACATATATATATGTAGATATAGAGATACATATATAGTATGTGTGGTATATTCGAGTGTTCTTGCTCTTCGATGTGTAATGCTTTGTAATATGAGTCTCAATTGTCCCTCCATGCGCGATAACTGCCTTTTGAATTTATAGATGAGAAGAATAGAAGCCAGGAACAAGCCAAAACCAAAACAAAATAAGACCAGCATATAGCAAAAAGAAAAAAAAACACTAGCCTTAGCAACCAAAACCAAACCAAAGCAAAACAACAAAAAGAGAGATATTTTGTAAAGAGTTTTTCGAGCCAGATACAGAAAGTAGAAGAACATCTCCATCGATTACACTCGTATTAATTAATAGGTACTATGGTTTCCGCTTTGGGCGAGATTCAGGCAGCAGATTCAGCACTTTTATAGATACCTCAACTCACCACCCACCCAGCCCTCTAGATCATGCTAAATTTGTGTTGTTTTTAAAACGATTTTTAGCCCCCCCACTCTTTGGTGTCACAGAGCTTCTGTAGAGCACAGGTTTTAGGGCATTGATATATTGATATACAGAGCATACAAAATATACAGAAGCGATTGAAGATGGGGATTGGGGCACTCATAGAGAGACCTACTCGAGCATGGAATAGCATCGCTGATCCTTAGTTATCTGTTGGCTTTCGTTAAACTCACACACTTACATGCGCATATATAAAGATATATACAATATGGACACGTATATATATATACATATATAGAGGTGGTATACATGTATTCGGAATCGATATTTAACAAAATTATACACAAGCAAAAACTAATTATACAGAAGATTGATTATACATATAAACAGAGACAAACAGATGTATGTATGTATGCATGTATGTAAATGGCAAGCTGCGCCTTTTTTTCCTAATTGTAAAGATTTTATATAACCACATTTATGCGAGTACGAGCTATGTATGGAAAAGGGTGGGAGGGTAGCCCAACCCTAAGACCGGAACGAACCGAAACACCATTCTCATTGGTAAGCAGAATCAAACGTAGAAACGTATAATGTATAAAACTACATAGGCAAATGTATCACACACATCACTCGAACGAAACGAAATATATAAGTTTATATATATATAAAGGGAAATTAATAATTAAAACTAAACCAAACATCTGCCATGAGCATTTTCTGGGTGGGGATGCAATGGGGTACAATCAAATGGCGGGTATGTGTGTATTTTTTTTTAAACAATGTAAATTGATTTATTTGCCTTAATTTAGTAACTATATAAATTGCCTAAAACTTGTATCATTTCACTTTCTGTGCTTCCTTTTGTTTGCTTATTGCTTAGCTCCTAGTCGCAGTCGATTGGGTTCCCTAGGCACACTATCGTCATAGGCTGTTCCACATTTATATACGTACAAATTCGCACACACACACATACACTTAAAGTATTATAATTTCGCAGGGCTAAAACTTGCGGCTCACAAGACGGAGGCGGTGCTCATATCCAGCCGGAAAGCGGTCGAGACAGCCAGAGTGCAGGTCGGGCGGACGACGATCCAGTCCCAGAGGTCGATCAAATAACTGGGTGTCCACATCGATACGAGGCTGTCCTTCAAGGAGCACCTGGAGTATGCCCACAGGAAGGCCAGCGGGACCGCAGGATCGCTTGCTATGATACTATGATACTGCTGAACTCCAGAGGCCCAAAGCAGGCAACGAGGAAGTCGCTGACGAGCGTCGTGACGTCGCAAATCCTCTACGCCGCGCCAGTGTGGTCAGAGGCCGCGAAGGTGAGAAGCTATATGCGAGGTCTGGAGGCAACATATAGGCTTTGCGCCATTAGGATCGCGTGCTCGTTCCGGACCATCTCGGACGAAGCAGCGCTGGTCATCGCCGGGCAAATTCCTCTCGGGGAGCTTATCCGGAGAGGAAGGAGATGTTCGACGCCACGCAGGACAGTGAAGCGGCTCACTCAAAGCAAAGTGAGGTATCGCAAGTGCAAAGGTCGAGCAAACTAAATTTAATTCAAATCATAATAAAAATATTCAAGTAAACTATGGTGCAAACCATGACCATGGCCATGACCGTAACTGTGACTGCAACTGCGACTGGGTGTTGCGGGGGTGCTGGGTTAGATTTTGGGCTGAATTTTCGGGGTTTACGGACCGAGGAAATAGGATTTAGAACTTAAGTTATAAAAAGCTGCTGGATTCCATTGCAAGTTTAAATATTGCCCCTAAATTATGCATGCATATATATGTATGTATGTATATGTATGTGGCATATGATCCTGGTACATGTATGTGTGTTAGCCTAAATGTCTTTTGGCCGTTCGTCTTTGACGTTCAGACTGCCCGACACTGAGCACGCCCCACCTGCCGCTGCTGTTGCTGCCGCCCCAGTTTCGGCATCTAACTGACAACTGATTCTAAAACTAAACACAAACAGAGAGTGGGGGTGGGCGGGGGAACTAGCGAATATTACAAAACCCAGAAGTAGAGGAAAATTATGAAGAAAACGACACCGACAGCCGCCACCTTCATGACCAGCGACTTGCGGTTGAGCAATTTGGCATCCTTCTTATATTTTTGCGACATCAGCGACAGGTTCTGGGTCTTTGTGTCGAGGTCTGCAACCGAAAACAGAAACAAAAACAAAAACAGAGATTAGATACGAGGCTCAGATGTTGTGGCGTGGATGATCGAAAGGTATAGTTGTATATTGGTTTGGTTACCCGCCAAGACCGTGCCACGTTGTAGCACGTCGTCGATGTTCTGCACCATAATGCGCTGCACGTCCTGGAGCTGTGTGTTAATGTTGGTGATGTTGCGCCTGCGGTCCGTCAACTGCCTTTTCGCCTTCTGAATGTACACATCGAACTCGATGAAGGCATAGGGCCGGGTCACCGAGTTCACCCTCCGCCCGTAGTGGGTGTGGAACTCCTGGGCCAGGTCCTCCAGGTAGTTGAACGCCAGTCGCTTGGAATACATTTTATCGACCATGACCAAGTAGCAAACGTCATTCTCGATTAGATAGCTGCACGAAGGGAAAAGGGGAGGAAATTGAGCGATTGCCGGCTACGTTAGCTCCATTGCATCATCGTCTACATATACGACGTAGTACACAACAGGCGATCACTGCTGGTAGGTACTCACTGGAATAGATACGGTCCCGTCTCGATGCTGCTCCTGGCCGGCGAGTGTGTGCCCAGCTTGCGAAAGAGCATCTTCGCCTGATTCTGATAGTCCAAGATGCTTCGTCCGCTCTGAAAGTGAAAGTTTTGCGCTGTAGCTATTGAGCATGGAATGGTGGGATGTTGGGTTAATTGGTAACCTTTGACACTGACCTGCTCGTCATCCTGCATGGTGCCCACCAGTGGCAGGCCATCGATGACTCGGGCTATCATTGTTAGCATCGCCATTTTGAGGGCTCCTTCTCATTCGCTACGTGGACTTGGGTCTCGCGTCGTTCTGTTGCTTCAGCTTAGCGCTCTTTCTCTGGCCACGGCTGCACTTTGCCGCTGCCTCGTCCCGCTCCGCACCGTTGTTGTTATGGTCGCAGTGTTTGTAGCTCCAGCTACAATTCATTCAGCCTGTAATATTGTGATACATATATATATTTTTACATATGTTACATATGTAGAAAGGTTTCCCCCTGGCTACCATATCCACATCCATATCCATATCCGTACCTGTAACCTGTGCCTATTCCTGTTTCTGTGGTCGCTCCAGTGTCTCGCTTGTCTGCTGAACGAATGCGTGTGTCGTGGCCTAATCGGTGACTGGTCTCCTCTGGGGGGTCGGCATTGTTCGCATTTTAGTTTATGTGAAAACTATGTTGCAACGTTGGTTCGGCGAGGGGGACGGTCGCTAAAATCCGATTCGTGTTTTTGGCCTGAAACACGTCAGCTATAGAGCTGGAAAAAACATCGATGTAATATCGATAGTATCGATGTTGCTCAAAAATGTTCAGCATCGATGTTTTTTCTGCAAACATCGATTATCGTCACTTACAACCGAAAGACGCTCTTTGTAAGGGAAGGGAATATTTTATGCGAATTTGCTTACAAAAATTAATCTATTCTACTTACTTTAATATATAATAATTTGTGGTGTTGGCGTGGATCGTGGTAGCGCCATGGAAAAGTTTGTAAAAAGCAAGTATAATGAAATACAGTTAATTTTGTACAATGTGCACACATATGTATACATAGATGTATGCGAATAAATTTGTATACATGCATATACATATATGTATTCTCACTTTTTCGCATACTTGTTTACATATGTATGTATTTAAATGTGTAAAAAATTATCAAATTAACTATTTTAAACTAATTCCTTTAAAACAGTAACGGCAACTGTATTGGACGACGTTGGAAATAACGAGGAGGACATCATATCTAGTCCCAAGCGGACCAAAAAGGACCTCGCTAAAACCTAAAATCAACAAAAACAGCTTCCTATCAGATCTCAATAAAAAATTTAAGCCGAAAACAAATTTTTGTATATTTTCTGTCGATAATCAATTATAATCGATGTCTTCGTCCTAAAACATCGAAAACATGGTGGCAAACATCGGTGTTTTTCCAGCTCTAGTCAGCTATCGTTTATGCTATGTTGCCAAACTATTCCCGCAGTTGTTCATCAAAAAAAGCCAGATTTTACGGGAAAAAAGGGAATCGGCAGCACTGGTTTTTGTTTTGTTTGCGCCGCAAGGTGTGTGACGTATGACGTCAGAAAATTCAGAGCATTTAAGAAAAATAGCCACCTCACCACATAACTCACCGTGCGGGATTTTGTGCTTTCGAGCACACATGGTATATTTTGTCCGTCGGGGCTAGGGTGAGGTCCTTAAGAGGCCCTTAAAAAAGTTTGGCCGTCTTAATACTGGGGCCATACCTTGCCATGACCCAGTCGATAGTAAGCATTCAAAACGCTCTTCGGACTCATTTCTGTGTTTAAATTGTGAGCCACTATCGATAGTATCGATATTTTGATACGTTTTTGTGGTGTTGCCAGACTAGTGCAATTCGTAGTTGCTGCGGGCTGCCATACCATGATATTTTGTGATATGAAATTCTTAAATTTTGACATTCGGTTTAAAATTACTAGATAGTTAGCCCTCTCTGCCCCAAAAAAATTATTTTATCCAGTTCCTCAATGAATTTTGTTCAGGATTGGCTAGTTTTCAGAACTAGTTTTTATTGGATTGTTTACATAAAAAGGTTCAAACAAAAACGGCCAAAGCATAAAACGTAAATGTTGACTAAATGTGACGTCAGTGTTGCTGGTCAACCAAGTTTCTTCTATGCGTATGTACTTTTGTATTAATACAGGTAGCAACCCTAAGTAACGGATGATAAAAGTAAGTGACTTTTGAAAATAGTATCGGCAATGTGACACGCTGAGTTTACAACTAACTTCTGCTTGCTTTTCAACTCGTTTGTGCGTTTAATTCTAATTTCCCCGCGTAACTGTTTCTATTAAAAAATTAAAAAATCAAGCTGTCTTCTTTTTAAACTATCCATTCAATGATAATAGCCGGCATGTGTTTATACATATAGAGCATTTTTGACTGGGATTGTAAGTACAATTTTGATGTTGTACGTTATAATTATATTTTCAACTTGATATGCTTATGTAGATAAAGAATTGACAGTCTGTAGCTTAATTAAACCAAGCAGCTTCCATGAAGATAATGACAATTTAATAAGCACTATATCCATTTCCCACAGCACAATACCCATTCCATCTCATCATATATTATACGCCATTATTATACTTTGTATATTTAATAAAGTCAGTAAAACGAATAAAAAACGAAAATTAAATAACGTGTAAGATGCAGGGGCCTTAAAACCTGATTTTTCGTTTGGAAATTAGGTCTTTGTTTTTATTTAGACTTTTGTATCATCAATTCTCAGTCAGCGACTAAGAACAAAATAACAAAATTAAAAAGTGAATCAATGAATTTTTTAAATAACAAAATCCTACATTCCATTCCACAAATAGCTAGAATGACAAAATAAATATGTTAAATAACAAAAAAAACACAATCACTGTCCGCTGTCTGTTGTTTCAATTTCAATTATAGATTTTAAATAATTCAGCCTCGACCTGCCACGACTGTCCTCAGCTTCTCCGACGCCCCGATATACATATTTCAGCCCACTTAAGCCGCCTGCACAGCCAAAAGAAAGAAATAAAGAAAGTTCTGGTGAGTTGTATCGCTTTGTGATTTTATCAGGTAGATATAAAAATCTACGTAACAAGTTCTATAAACGTTTTGCTAGGACACGTGACCCTATTGACTGGGCGAGGTATGTGCAGCATGAGCGCGAATTCACCTTTCTGAATAAATTTGTATATAACCAGTACATTTCTGACGTTGAGAGGGGACTTAAAACCAATCCCAGGTCGTTCTGGCGCTTCGTAAGTTCCAAAAGATCGACGAGCTCGCTTCCTTCTGCTATGAGCTTAGGTGATTTGACTGCAAATACTGATTGTGGCAAAGCTAACTTGCTTGCTTCTTTTTTCAGATCAAATTTTGAACCTTATGCCGTTTGGCATGACTTAGGTAATCTAAATTCTATTCCTTCGGTCGTCAATATTGGTGCATTAGCTATATCTGACGCTGACATCTTGGAGGCTGTTGCCGATTTCGACAATTCTAATAAGCCCGACAGTGATGGCATTTCTCCCTTCCTTTTTCGCAATATGATATTGCTTTTTGTGATCCTCTCAAAATACTCTTCACAAGGTCTCTTGCCAAGGGTTGTTTCTGTGATAGTTGGAAGGCTGCCACGATTACGCCCATTTTTAAAAAAGGTGCTAAGAATTTGATCTCCAATTATAGACCAATTGCCAAACTTAGTAATGTGTCGAAGCTTTTTGAGCGAATCCTAGCCAAAAAGATAACATTCCTCATGAAGTCGTATATCAGCCCAAATCAACACGGGCTTATGGCGGGTAGATCCACGACCACTAATCTTGTCGCTTTCAGTAATTTTTGCACTCGTGCCTTTGAGTTGCACAGTTGACGCTGTGTATACTGACTTTGCCAAGGCCTTTGACAAAGTTTCTCACAGTGCCCTTATAGTCAAGTTATATCAACTATGGATACATTCCCGCCTGCTCGGTTGGTTCAGTTCATATCTTGAGAGACGGGAGTATGTGGTGTTGATAAATGGAAAGCATTCGGACCCATATGTGGCTACTTCCGGCCTTTCACAGGGAAATGCACTTGGTCCTCTGCTGTTCTTAATATTTATCAATGACATATGTCCCAGCATCCAAGACTCTGAGTATCTGCTCTTTGCTGATGAATTGAAAATTTTCCGGGCTGTCAAAACCTTAAGCGACAGTATCCTGCTGCAGCGCGATCTGGACGGAGTTGCTCGTTGGTGCAGACTTAACTCGCTCCCTCTCAACATTAGCAAATGCTATTCTGTTTCTTTTAGGAAGTGTGTCTTTAGTGTGATGGCCTCATATTCAATAGATGGCCATCCGCTTTTAAAACAGACGGAGATACTTGACCTAGGCGTCTTGTTCGACTCAAAATTTCTCTTTGTCGAGCATTTGAATTTTATACTGCCAAAAGCCTACGCTCTGTTCGGCTTTGTTAAGCGCAATGCATCCTAGTTCAGAGACCCATATACGAGGCTATGTCTGTACTCGTTCCTTGTACGCTCGCGGCTCGAGTAAGCTTCCGTTGTTTGGAACCCCACCGGGGCCGTGCAAAATTTCACGTATCGAGAGACTGCAAAGAAGGTTTCTAAAGTTTGCACTCCAACCCTTGTAATTATACCCGTACTCAAAAAAGAGTTAAGGGGTATATTAGATTTGTGGTAAAAGTGGATGTGTGTAACGCAGAGAAGGAACGTTTCCGACCCCATAAAGTATATATATTCTTGATCAGCATCAATAGCCGAGTCGATATAGCTATGTCTGTCTGTCCGTCTGTCTGTCTGTCAGTCTGTCTGTCTCGATGAGCGCCTAGATCTCAGAGACTATAAGAGCTAGGGCAACCAAATTTGGTTTCCAGACTCATGTGATATCCCACTGCTACAAGTGTATTTCAAAATTTCGCCCCGCCCCCTTCCGCCCACACAAAGGACGAAAATCTGTGACAGGCACATTTTTAAAGATACTATAAAACTAAAAACGCAGTAACGTAGAGAATGCCCATATCTACCAGACTGCCAAATTTGAATCAGATCGGATTATAATTATAGCCAGAATGAACAAATTAATTTTCAGTTGCTTCCTCTGCCCCCTCCTGCCAACGACCATGCAACTCATTTTCCTTCTCGCTCGCACACTCTGCCGCGTTCAGTGCGTGAGCAACCCCATAGCCGAGTAGATATAGCCATGTCTGTCTGTCCGTCTGTCTGTCTGTCCGACTTGTTGAGCGCCTAGATCTTTTGGTTTCCAGACTTATGTGATATCACACTGCTACAAGTGTATTTCAATTTCGCCCCGCCCCCTTCCGCCCACACAAAAGACGAAAATCTGTGGCAGGCACAATTTTAAAGATTCGATAAAACTAAAAACTAATCAGATCGGATTATAATTTTAGCTAGAATGAAGAAATACATTTTCTTTTGGTTCCCCCGCCCCGTCCAGCAAGAAACCACTCATTCTCTTTCTCGCTCGCACACTCTGCCGCGTTCAGTGCGCGAGCAACCCCTAGCGGAGGAGATGTAGAATATACATAATATATGTAGATAACAGATATAGCAAAAAAATGTAAAATGTAAAATTTTTTTTTGTAATTCTAAAATTAAAAAAAATTATATGCTCAAAAATGTATATACTGACTGAGTACGGGTATAAGTAGAGTCGCGTCCCCAGAAGCGACTCGCACATTCCATCTCGTTTATATTTTGTTGTTGTTTTTTATTATTTAAGGTAGAATTAAGCTAGTTTAGCCAGTTAAGGATATTTTAAATCTGTTGGCCAATAAATGAATAAAACATTAAAATTTAAGTCTACAAGTACAAAATTGAAGTGGTACGAAATAAATTTAAAATAAGATTAAATTCGTATAAATAATTTCAACACTTTCGTAGCAAATGAGCGACACGAGCGGACAACCGGGCAAGAGTCCGGCGCCCAAGGCTAAGCCAGAAGGCAGCGAGTTGCTGGATGAAGGGTCCAAGGACGTTTTCTTTGACTTGGAGGATGAAGATGTGGGGACCACCAGCTATTCGACAAGCAATTCGCTGTCGGATATATGGGAGCAGGGATTCCAGCAGCAGGCACAGATACACAAGCTCAAGAAGATGCTAAAATCGAAGTCGCACGAGCAGGACAACATGGCCCAACAGGCCGCAGAGACACGCAAGAAGCTGGAGGAGGAGCAGACACGTGTGGGCAGCATGGGGCAGCAGCTGAAGCGAGCCTGTCAGGAGAAGCAGCAATCGAAGGATCTACTGGCGGACACGCAGAAGAAATGCCGGAGTCTGGAGAGCCGCCTCGATAAACTGCGCGAGAAGAAGAAGTGGGCGGAGCAGTGCAATACCCAGCTTGAGTCCAAGTTGCAGCAGACCCTCATCCAGTGCAAGCAGCTCAATGAAAAATGCACCCATAGCGGCGAGATGCTGGATAGGAAACAGATCGACTTTGATAAAATCACAAAGCAATACAACGCCCTGGAGTCGGACTTTGAGGCCATGCTGCTGGAGAAGGAGGTCAAGATACATGAGTTGAAGGGCTCGCTCGAACTGGCCCAGAGTAGATGCCAGCAGCTGGAGTCAGAGAGCGTGCGCCAGCAGCAGTACATCAAGCAGCTGGAGGCCAGGCGGGCGACCTTGGAGCACAGCAATGCCCAGCTGAACAAGGAGCTGCTCCTGCTGCATGATCAGGAGCAGGAGGCACTACCTACCGTGGCCACATTGAGTGAGGAGAAAACGCGACAGCAACTGCGCCTTGTGCAAATGGAAAAGGAATGGGGCGCAGTAAAACAAAATTTGGCCACAAGCTATTCGCAGCTACAGCAGAAAATTAATCCGTTGATAAACGAACGGGATGCGCTGCTGTCCACGAAGCGGGAGACAGCGGATGCGTTGCGCCTGGAGCTGGATCGGCACCAAGGCCTCTTGGTAGCTGCCCAAACGGAGGTGGATCGACTGACCCAACTGCACGCAGAGACCTCACACGAGAAGGATGTGCTCAGCTACGAGCTGCAGGAGCAGCGCGAACAATTCGTCAAGCTCGAGCAAAGTCTACAGAGCTTCCAGTTCAATGCAGAGCAGCAGGCCAAAAGGCTGGCGTCAGAGAAGAAGAGTCTGCAGAGCGAGCTGCAGCAGTTGCAGAGCGAGCTGCCGCAGTTGCAGGCGATATGTGAGCCAGAGAACTGCAGTAGCTGTGCAGAGAAGTTGGCTGAAATTCGTAGTGCTGAGATTCAAATGAGCAGGCTGCAGAAGATCAACAAGAGGCAGGCGAAAATCCTAAAGGAACACTATGTGGATGTGGACAAGGCGTGGACGCTGCAGAGCCTCTGCGCCCGCACCACAACTGTGGACAGAGTCTGCTCACGGGGCTCAAGAGGAATGCCGAGCAATTCAAGTCGTTTATCAGCAGGAAAAGCAGGTAAAGCAGGGCGCCAGTAGTGATGCCACGCCCACCCATTCGAACATGAAACATTTTGGCTGAATTTTCTGCAATTATTTTTATACCCGTACTCAAAAAAGAGTTAAGGGGTATATTAGATTTGTGGTAAAAGTGGATGTGAGCAACGCTGAGAAGGAAACGTTTCCGACCCCATAAAGTATATTTATATATTCTTGATCAGCATCAATAGCCGAGTCGATATACCCGTTTGGCTATATTTGCTCTCCTCTACCTTTTTTCCACTGACCTTAACCGTTTCGTTGTTCAATGATTTTAGAGCACAGTTCTAACTCTTGCTTTGGTTTTTAGCAATGCCATGCGGCATGCGCCCGCTAAATGCTACCCGATACACAGCTTACCCGCATATACCCGCTACCCGCTATCCACTATCCGTAGCTTACACAGCTTACCCGATACCAAAGTTGTGTTCTTCTCGCCACGAACCGGGCTACAGTGGCTGCCGCAACGGGTAAAGGTAAATGCCAGTCCTCTTAAATATTGAGCAAATGGTTATTCAAATAAAAAAAGAAACGGCTATGGTTTCGAACACACACACACACGTACATATTACATATACTCATAGACACACTTGCTGTACATAAATAAATGCTTGAATAAACTTAATACATACATATATATATTTAAATTTATATAGATATATTTTGTGTCGGCCATCACCGCCGATTCAATACACATAAAATTTATGGATCTGGGCCACGTAACGAGGGGCATTCCACATCCGGAATGCACAGGGCAATGGTCATCCCGACGAACAGGAATACCTGCACTGTTCCCACCAGGATTTTCTTGAACATTTCCAAGCCCCACTCTGAGTCGTCCACTCGCGGTGCCGCGCTGAGCTTTCTGGAAGACTTTGCCCGTCCCCCGGCCAAACGTGTCGTCCGCTTCTTGGTCTTGAACCGAGGCCCACGGGCAATTGTTGATGGCTGTTCCTCTTCCTGGGTGCCGCATGGCACCTGTGGGGGAATGGGCAGCGAGGATATGGCTGTCAACAGTAGCTTCTCCACCATCGGCGTCCATTCATTCAGTGCCGCTCTGAGCTTTCTGGAAGACTTTGCCCGTCCCCCGGCCAAACGTGTCGTCCGCTTCTTGGTCTTGAACCGGGCAAGAGTCCGGCGCCCAAGGCTAAGCCAGAAGGCAGCGAGTTGCTGGATGAAGGGTCCAAGGACGTTTTCTTCTTGGAGAATGAAGATGAGGGGACCACCAGCTATTCGACAAGCAATTCAGCCATATCCTCCGAGTCCATTCCCCGCCCACTCCCCGCGCCGGACTCTTGACCGGTTGTCCGCTCGTGTCGCTCATTTGCTACGAAAGTGTTGAAATTATTTAATACGAATTTAATCTTATTTTAAATTTATTTCGTACCACTTCAATTTTGTACTTGTAGACTTAAACTTTTGTAGACTTTTGTAGACTCTAGGTTGTGGATTCGGTCAACGAATCTGACTAACTAAATATTATCAGTCGAATTTGTTGCTCAAGGCTACTGGCCAGCCTGCTGGGCTTCCTCTGCTAAACGTACAAAAAGTGTAGCCAAGTAAGCGTGTGATTTGGTTTTTTTTTTTTCATTGTAAGCAATTGTCACAGACAAATACTTACTTGCAGCTTACTTGCAGCTTACTGTTCACTGTCCACTGTCCACTGTCCACTGTCCGCTGTCCACTGTCCGCTGTCTGTTGTTTCAATTTCCATTATTGATCAGTCGCATATTTATGCATTAATTAATATTAAATAATATACACTTATCGAATAAGTCAGGTCGACCCATGTAACGGGAGACATAATAACAAACGACAAAGCATTGTAGCTGAGTCAACAATAACCGCTTCTTCAGCAATTCTGCCAACGATGCGATCGCTCTTCAGAGGGCAATAACACTGGTGCCATTGCTGACTATCACAATTGCCCAATAACACAATATCATATTATTCCCTTTTGCCATATTCTCACTAGACTCCGCACTTTCTGTACCTTTTGTTACCTATAAATAGAATTTAAGTTTGTTGAATAAAATCAGTATCAGAAACAGTACCATCACTGCCTGTTCACTCATTCTCTACAACTGCAATCAACAGAGGCTGTCGCCGTGTCTTCAGACCCTCATTTGCTCTACGTAGGAAACCTTCTCCGCAGTCCAACTGGTTCAAGTTCTAGTTGCGACGACAAATTTGTAAACGGTTTATGTACCGTATGCATACCAAATCACACACACACAGAAACACACATTAACATTTGGTGACCCCGACGCAGGAAAACCTGCAGATCACACTGAAGAAGTCACCAGGACTTTTCAACACAAACTGGCAGCAAGCCACATACTTACGGTAGAATCTCCTACCAATAAGTAGAGCAAATTGGCAGATCTGTCACTTTCAGCTCATCAGCCAACAAGATCAACGATTAATAATATCAAGATCACAAGTGCGTTTCACCAGCACAAAACCTCCATCCAGTACGTCGTCTGTACTTATACTTTGACCAACATCGGTTGCGAATAGGAGCGTATCCAGCTGCAAAGCGAATAAAAGACTCCCAACGGGTCATAGTATAAGTAAGAGGCGAAATGGATTCCCACAAGGAGGAACACGCTGTCACCACGGAGGCTTACAGAAAATTGCCTTCACTATGTCGCCGACAAAAGGCCATAGTAGAGTCCATAAAACGCATTCTGAGACAAATTCTCAAAGGCGGGAGGACGTACTTCAAGTGATTTGATAAAATCACTATGGACTCAAGCACAAGAAGTCCATTTTTCTATCCACGAGGAATATGATAACCCAGAAGAAGGAGGATACAAATGGAAGCCTACCTGACCCTGGAAAAAGAGGTTCAAAGAGCATTGGCAAAACCAGCCATATCAAACAATAATGACGTGCAGCTTCCACGCATCAATATTCCCAAGTTTGATGGGGACATACTAAAATGGTTCCAGTTCTATGACCTGTTTTCATGTATGATACATGAAACAAACATGCCCGCAGTTCGGAAGATGTGGTATTTAAAAACAACCGTAACTGGAGAGGCAGAAAGATTGATCCGACATATCGATCTAAAGGAAGAAAATTATTTGAGCGCCTGGGAAATTCTGATTGATACATACAACAATCCCAGAGATGTCGCTAGCACGGTATTGAACCGCTTCCTAAATTATAACACAGTTAATGACGACTCAAAGTCATTAACATAGTTTTACGTTACAATTAACGAATCCCTGGCATCACTAAAGGGATTGGGCATCAATATATCCACATGGGATCCAATATTGATTGCCGTCATCAAAAATAAGCTGGATGTCACTAACAGAGCCTTGTACGAGCAATCATTGGGAAGCTCAAAGGAAATACAGGCCTTGGACACAATGCTTCAGTTCCTAGAACAAAGAGTTTGAGTTCTAGGAACAGGCAAAAAGACACAAATGTCAATGTGCCAAACGGCACAACATGTGCAATAGTAAACACTGGAAAATCGAAGACGCCTCTCTGCTCATTCTGCAAGAAGGCAAGCCATTGGCTCTACAATAATTACAACCTGCAAGCTACAGCAAAAGTAGCAGTAGAAGCAAACATTGGACAGAGAGCCAATTTCAGAGCCTTGCTGGATTCAGGATCACAGATCAACCTGATCTCTGAACGAATGGCATCAATGTTGTCAGTAAAACTTAATGATACAACATTACGCATCGAAGGAATTGGAGGTCTTTTTATCCACTGTTTTATAGCGTTTTAACTGTTTTAAATCCGCTGTGAACTCAACTTGTTGAATCGTTCGTAGGATCATAGTGCGAGCACGCCTTAGTTCTCCTGCGCAAAGTGTCGTTGTAGGTGCTCTATTAGTTTTGTAGCAGAAGCGAAACATGTACGCTACAATACGTTGTAGTTTATTGAACGAGTTGCTATGTCTGCATGTGTATAACTCTTCTCCGAGAGAGCTAGATGCGATTGGCAAGCTGACATGCTTAGCCTTTCTCTCGAGATTGCTGGGCTCAATGATGGGTGGTTTTGTCCATTTATCTCCTGATCCGTGCAAGAATAATGGTCCGTATAGCCATAGACCATGATCCCTAAGCTTGCTTGCTAGGATTCCTCTTGAAAGGACGTCTGCTGCGTTGTTGGCTGATGAAACATGAAACAGTCGTCCACATAGAAATCGTTCTTCAATGCAGCAGATCCAATAGGTAATCTGTTTTGGCTCCGAGTTGCAAAATGATCCAGACAGAGCAGATGTGGTCCCATATGTGACTGTTTTTAAGCGATAGTACCTGATATCTTCAGATGGATTGTTTCTCCAGACTATCATCTGATGAAATTGATCCTCGGGATTTATCCACACTTGTCGGTACATTTTCTCGATGTCCGCTGTGAATACGAAAACGTAGTAGAATGGACATAAGTTCACTCTGAACTGTGGGTCCGGCATGCAGAATGTCGTCTAGAGACTTTCCGCTTGTTGAATTACATGATGTATCAAAAACGACCCGTAACTTTGTGCTGGTGCTCTCAGGTTTGAGTACACAGTGGTGTGGTATGAAGTAGTGTCTCTCCGGCACTTGAGTTGCTGGGACCATCTTCATGTGTCCAAGTCCTTCATATTCATTCGTGAATTCCACATAGCCTTTCCAGGTGTCTGGTGAAATCCGTCGCACTAATGCCAGGAATCTTTTCGTTGCAGTTTCCAAAGACCCCCCAGGGCTGAAGAGTGTTCGGAAAATGGGAGTTTTACTATCAACCTGCCATCCGATGCTGTTTGTAAGTTCTCTATAAAGTGAGCTTCGCAATGTGCTTCGATTGGCGTGCGTGGTTTTTCTTCCGTCTCTAAGTTGTCCAGAGTCCAGAATTTTTCCATTAGCTCGTTGAGTCCAATTGTACAAATGGATGCGAAGTTGTGTGCAGACCTGATTTTTCCTGCCACAGTCCATCCCAATTTTGTATTTTGCAGCAACGGGCCTCCTGAATTTGGCTGTTTTTGATCTGGGAGTAGT